TTCTGATTGACATAAATCTTTTCGGTGTCGTTATTTTTTTTTATTTATTTAATTTAACTTTTATTTCGTTTTATTTTGATTATTTTACTTTAATTTGAAAAATGTTAGTCAATGGGCTTGTCAATGGTCAGTGTTAATTTGACATGAGTCTGAATGGTTTGTCTCTAGCATGTCATCAGTTCATGTATCTGCAAATCTTTCTACTTTTACTGGTTGTTCACCCTCTTTCACAGCTTTTTACATACATACTTTGTCAAGATTTCTATATTTCCTCAAATAAGGCTATTTCATCTACTTTATTATTAACAGTTTTGCTGTCGAATCATCGGATTGCTCGATTTATGAAGTCATCCATACTTATTTATCAATATAGTATATTGACACTTGTCCTACCATAAATACACTTTAGACATGTGTCATACATTAAGTAGTTAATGGATGACTCTATAAGAAAACCATTCGATGATTCTATAGAATTTTTGTCCAAATTAAAGGGTATCATAATGAAAAATTCGGACCTGATCAATGTGAGTAAAGATGTGTAAAATAGTTTGTACTCGTAATATTTGACCTCGTGTAAAAGTAGGATTGTTACCTTGTTGTCACGGCTTCCCGATTGCCCGTGCTACCAGTTCCTACTGCTCGAGTGTCTATTGTCCAATTTTGTTAGGCTACGTGGTCCTATCCACATTTAGTTCTTATCCTAACATTCTTTCTTAGTTATCTTATCTTCACATCTGACTACTTAATTAGCCCGACTCCCTACAAGCTAGGTTGCTCTATTCTCTATTGTGTCGTTGACCTGCCCTATCTCCAGGTCGAGTTTTTATCAGGATAACCGAGTGCCATAGCTCGATCTGTTGGTGAGCTCCCTTGTCTGTGAGGTCACCATCGACCTTGTGATTATTCAACCTCTGATGTCATTGCTACTCGATCGACCTGCCGGTCCACTTGGTCCAATTGAACCGCTCCTCAGGTCATACTGGACTGGGTATATGGTATCCCATATCATATATCAAAATATTTCTTTCTAATTTGTTTTAATTAAAGTTGGTAAAAGGCTAAAAATGGTATCTCTTTCGTTTCTAGTTATTCATATGCTATCATTTCAATGGTAATTTCATATGAAGTAGATCAAATAAGCAATCGCAAACAAAATAAACGAGATCTTATGTTATATTTTTCATATTTCACTTTTTATTAATATGAACATTGGACACCAAAATATGAAGGTGGAACATGAAATTCTATCATATTCTAATGTGACAAGCATGTTAAAACACTCTAATTTGGCTCCTGTATTAGCTAAAAATATTTCAGCATCCTATGTTTTGTCATTTAGTATTATTATTATCGCAATTTGCGTGTTTAATTTTTTTCTTAATTCGTCAAAACAGTTAATTCAACTCCGCTAACCGACAACAGTCGAACATGATCAAATCAAACTTTTTAAAAATACTTATCCTTACCTAAATAATTAACTTACTATATTGATCTAACATATTCAACACAATCCAAAATATTGTTCAACTTAAATAAATTAGGCATAAAAAATTAAATTACGTGTATCTGCTAATTCACCCACATTTTGTAAAGTGTTGTTATTACTTACGTACAGAGATCCCACTTAAAGTTTGCAGACAAAACAGATGTCCCTCAGTCCCACCACTGTCCCCTAAAGGACAAATAAATTCATATCTCAATATATTGCATGCAAGGACCCAATTAAACACACACACACACACACACACACACACACACACACACACACACACACCAAATTATTTTGCTTTTTCTTATTAACACATACAAATATATACTATGTTTTTGAACTTGCTGCCCGGGCAATGCCTTCAGGTTATTGAATTACCGCTCCAATTAATTTTTTTTATTTTGTGTCATTAGATTAATAATTTAAACAATATTCATCAAAGTAAAAAAAAAAAAATCTATAAAATATTTAATATTATTGTGTTAATTTCTTCGTAATGTATGCTAAATATATTAATATATACAAATTTTTTTTTTGATTAATTAATCTCCAATTATATATGTTCTTCTAATTGCTTGCTCAAACAACTAGAATTTATAATCAGGCAAAATGAGTCAAGTAGCATAATATGGTCAAAAGTAAAAGAAAATATAGTTACGTTTGTCAATATTTGTTGTGGGATGCTATAATTTCGGTCAGTTATTTGAAGAGCAACAACCTGTTTGGTCCGAAAGGGAAGTCGGATATGAAATTTTGCGTAGAAGAACCGTTGTACTAAAATCGGCTTAGACGACATCTAGGCGCTAGGCAATACCCGTCTATCTCTAATTTCTATAAATCGGCTACAAAACTCAGCCCTGCGGCGTTTAGGCGGGCTCGGCTGCCTGGCGGCTTGGTAACAATTTTTATTTTATTTTTATTTTCATAAATACTTATTACATTATTGTGTTATTATATTTTTTTTATAGTGTATTAATATAGTTACTTGAATTAAGTAGTGTTGACTTATTATAAGTTGAGATAGTAGTGAAAATAAATAAAAATAAGGTATTATATAATCATGATTTTTAGGCCCCGCCTAAGTGTCGACTAAGCCTGCCTAGGCGCTCTAGGCGTTTGGCGCTGGTGAAGCGCGACTTCTAGAACACTAAGAAGAACCCATTTTCAGCTTTCTCTACCGCGCGATGGACAATTTGGAGACTGATGACTTATACTTATGAGAACAAGTTTACATAGAACTAGAGATGGCCACGGGCCGGACCGGCCCGTGAACCGGTCCCGGCCCGCCCCTAACTAGCCCTGAACCGGCTTCCTAAGGGCCGGTTCGTTGAACCGGACCCGTAGGACCGCGGTTCGGTTTCGTGCCATAGATTTTTTTTTTACCCGCCGGGCCGGGCCGGGCCAGGTCGCGGGTTAGACGGCGCGCCACGACGTTATTTTCTTTTTCTTCTTTAATGGTCGTCCCGGCCTGTGAACCGGCCAGTGACCCGTCGGGCCGGTGAACCGACGGTTTGGGCGGTTCTATAGATTTTTTTCGGGTCGGTCACGGGCCATGGTGTTGAGGCCCGCCGACCTGGCGGGCCGGGCTGGGACGGGTCGTGGCCCGACACCTGGCCATGTCTACATAGAACTTTAGACTAATCTAAAAAGCAAAGAATAGAAGATTAAATGGGTATTAATTGTAAGAAAAATTGATTTTGTATAGTTCTAACGTTTCCATTTTTGTAATTAGAAGAGTTAAAAATTTATCAAAATCACTTCAAGGCGAATGAAAAATTAATTCTAAGTTGTGTATATGCGAAATGTAAAGTTGTAGCAATTGAGTTTAAGTAACTCAAATTATAGGATTCGCGAAATATTCTGTCTTTGACGAAACAAGACATGATCATGCAACTGTATGTTATAACTCTAGAAGAGTTCATTAAGGATGAGTAGGAGAAAACAGAACTTGATTCCGAGTTTATATGAGCTCGTACGAGCCCGCAGCGCACGGACGCGCAGCTAGTCGCGAACAACAAAGGGTCACGACCTTGGAGACCATTAAAGTTGCAAACGAACCGAGCCGCTCAGTAGCGCTTGAGTTTATCTCGAGCAGAAACTCGAGTCGAGCTCGAGCCCATATTTTGCATTGTCTAGCGGCTCGTCAAGCGACTCGATATATATTTTGAATTGCTAAAATACTTCTTATATATATATATATATTACGAACTTGAGTTGAACTCCAGCCCATATTTTGCATTGTCTAGCGGCCCATAGAATGTAGAGTATCATCATGAATAAGAAGGTGTATCTCGGATACGGATAGGGCGGCTCTCCATATGAATGCATCTCCTCATGGTAGTTGTCGGGTTATCCACAAGACGAGCTACCAGAATAAGAATAGTCGTATGGATCCATCGGAGCTCCTCAAGCGAAGTACCTCGCACAAGAACAACAAAATAACCCAAAGGCACATGAGAAAAAGAAAAAAAAACACAAAACACAACTAGCACGACACGATATTCACACAAACACACATACCAAAATGCAAGAGAAATAGAAAATGAGCAAATAATCAAGAAAAACACGTAAAATCAAGCAAAATCCACAAAAATCAAGAGAAACGCATAAACAAACGACAACTAGATAGTAAACGTAGCGTTATACTCGCCTTCCCCGGCAACGGCGCCATTTTGTTTGTAATAGTTTTTGGTAGATGGTAACCGAGCTACCCGACTCGGGTCGCTCTCAAAGGAAGGCTGTTCGGAGCTTCGTTCACTATCTAGTTGTCAAAATCACGTAACTGAAAATAAGGTCCTACACATTCTACTCGCTTGATGGGAATTGATTTGCACGAATTTAAGCTAATACATTAAGAGAAAAGGACGAAAGATGCAAGAATTGAAAAACAGATCAAAACTATGGTCCATCGAAATCTCCACGACTAAGAAAATGAAAATAAACAAAGAGAACTATGTTAGCTATGTGATCCTAGGTAATCTGACACGGGCCTTTCTTAACTAAATCATCCCGCTTTGCACAAAGTCTAGACCTTTACACAAGATAAACACGTATTGAATTCCTAACACACCTAAGCAAGCAAGAAAAAGAAAGTAAAGCCTACAAACGAGCATAAACACATAATTCGAAAGACAAACTCGAAGTAGTAAGGCCTAACCAAGGTACCTACTCTCATATCGCATGCTTGTACGAAAATAGTGAATAAAGTTCGGAACTTGGATAAATATAAAATTGCCAGAGTTTCGCTGGAAAAGTAGAGTCATGGACCTCCAAACC